ATTGCTGAGATGTAATTCTTGGTCTTTTCTCGTAAACTTTTTTTATGATCTCACAATGCCAGCATTTTCCTCCTTTAAGGCCTGCTTAGAAAGAACAAACACTTATTATTTAGTGTTTAGTCTAAAATTCAGTCATGTTTTGTTGGCAGGTTATCTTTTAATGTGCAATAGAGGTGTTTAGGTCTGCTTTCATGGGGAGATTGGGAGATTGTTGCAGACCTGCTGTATCTCCAAGGGCTTTGCTGTCAGTATTTTTGTGTATGCCTGAAAAGGGGAGCTCTGAAACAAGCAGTGTGGGGAAAGAGTACCCAACTCACTGTGGTCCAAGGGGGAACCAGAACCTAGGTCTTTGTAGTTGTCTAAGTCTTCAGTGCCTTGAGCCGTCAAGGCCTCAACCACCATCTTAGATGCGCTATAGGGCTGCGGTATTCCAGCCAGCACCTCTATAGCTCACTTTCACCTGCTGAAGCAGCGGGAACTGATTGCTTTTCTACCAGCATAACTTTCTCTGGGCTTAGATCAGCAGTTCTGTGGGAATAGCATGGTTCTCCTGGATATGAATGGGATCTGTATCAGGATGGGTCCTCAGAACCTCATTACTAGAGCATGTTCCTATGAATGGTATGTATTACTTGTCTGGTTTCCTTGTTGCTTTAAAACCCAGGTCAAGTAAAAATGTGTCCTTTGATTTCTGAAAACCGAAATTGTCATTTTTAATATTTTGATTTGATAATTTTTATTTTACTTTTCTTAAAATAATGACAGGCTGTTTTTTTAAGAACAGGTTTAGGATAGTTGCAAAATATTTCCATAACTCTTAGTAGCCATTTAAAGCCCACTGCTCACTTAAAAACCTCCAAACACAACTTTGATTTTGCCTTCTCTATTGACTATAATGTGGTTTTCCAAAATGGCAAGGTTTTGATAACATTTTGGGGAAATGAAAAGTTTGTCTCATTCATCTCTACTTGGGTACTGCATTCCATACATCTTCAGCTTCCTTGGGTATGCGCAATTGCTATGCAAATTAAAAGGCTACAGACGTTAAAGCAGGGCTTGGCAAATTCCTTGCTTTGAATCTAGGAGCCAGCTAAAAATGTTAGGAGCCAGTTTTTTTTCATGCCTGCTTTGATCCTGAGCCATGTCAGACTGTCAGCTTGGCAGTCCCTAGCATATTGATTTATTTATTTCAGGTACTTATATAGCGCCGTCAATTTACGCAGTGCTTTACATATATATATTGTACATTCACATCAGTCCCTAACCCTCAAGGAGTGTACAATCTGAGGTCCCTAACTCACATTCATACACATACTATGGACAATTTAGACAGGATCCAATTAACCTACCTGCATGTCTTTGGTGTGTGGGAGGAAACCGGAGTACCTGGAGGAAGCCCGCGCAGGCACAGGGAGAACATGCAAACTCCGGGCAGGTGGTGCCGTGGTTGGGATTTGAACCAACGACCCTAGTACTGCCAGGCGGAAGTGCTAACCACTAAGCCACTGTGTCATCCAGGGATTTCTTTGAATAGGGCACCCTTGGCTGCGTGTGGAGGACAGTCAGGTGGACAGACAGCCTCCAGAGTTATGCTGGGACCCCAATTCTTATTATGTGCGCTGAGGGGTGCAAGTGAGATGGGTGATCCGGTGGCTGCAGCAGATCACGGTAACGCTGGAGATTGCTAGAGCTGGCTGGTCCCTTCACTTCCTCTGCCTGGAAGACAAAGCAGGGTTGGGATTAGACAGTGAAAATGTCTGGGGCCCCTGAACAGAGCAGACTGGGAGCTCATAGAGGTTCTGGCTGAGCCTGAAGTTGTAAGGGGTAAAGCCATGATCCCAGATGAGTCAAACAGATTTGTTTTCAACTCTGTTCCTATCAGCTCCATCTCCTATCCATGGCCTCTGGATACATTCTTGTAGGGGCCTCACTGGTGATTTAACCCCTGAAGGGTTGGCCTCTTGTCTCTCCCCTCCCATCCAGCCAGAAGCTGATACTTGAACTCCAGATCCGGGATGTAGATCCCCCACCTTCTCCACTACCTCCATTTCCTAGCTTCTATGTTCAGAGAGGTAGCACCCCACATCCCGAAGCTTTGTCCCTCTCTGGCACCACATGAGAAGCCCTGCTGCCTCTTCTGCTCCCAGACGAGCACCCGAGGGAGTCAGTATGGGAAGTAAGGGATGGCCCTGCCCACCTCATTGTGATCCCCACCCCTCTCCCACACTCAGGAAATATTCCACCAGGCACAGCTGGCCCAGGGGAACTGAAAGCGAGGCTGTGCTGGCTCAAGCTGTGGGGAGAGTGGTGGCCACTAGTTCAGGTAGGGCAGAGACCCATCTCCAGGTGACCAACAGATCAATAGGGCAGTGAATGGGCTGACAAAAGCCCAGGTACCAGGACACACTTTCTAGTCACCATGGTGACCTGGAGCCTGAGATTTGTCAAGCCCTGCATTAAGTATAACTTTTATTGCTGTCTGTGCCCCAGTTAAGGAGATTCACCCCCTCTATTTGTCCTGTTCTTTACCATTATCATTGAACGCCAGAAGAAAATACCAAATTTTAGGTTGTTTGCAGAAAAGTAATAGAATGGAAATCTTCCAGTTCGGACACTAGTTCTGGTGACCTGGAAGTCTCCAAGGGATTCCCTTAATTTGCTGAGATTTCCTCTCACTTCCCATTTGACTATGGAGTAGGAAGTGAAGGGAAATCTCTGAAATGAGACACAGATGGCAAAAAAATGAAAAGACCTGACACGTGTTATAACCGTCCCTTGCTCTATCCAAAATGAAAAAAAAAGTTTTGCCTATAGTTCTACTTTAATATCAAAGAATATTAAAGAATATTTGAGGAATATGAACATTTCATATTCAGTAAGCATGTGCAGATATGTAGTTAATACTTGTAGAGTGGAATAAAAACTTCTTTGCAGAATGAGCTTTACAGAGCTTTGCTTGTCAATAATCCCACAAAGGTAAGCCCCAGGTCCAATCACTGACAAACTCATGTAGACTTCAGCTCCGTAACATCTCCAAGATATGACCGTTCCTAACCATCACCGACTGTGTCTCTAAATACCACCCAAACCATACTCTCCGCTCCTCGCAAGACCTCCTACTCTCTAGCTCTCTTGCCTCCTCCTCCCATGCTCGTCTCCAGGATTTCTCAAGGGCTTCACCCATCCTCTGGAACTCCCTACCCCAAGCTATCAGGCTATCGCCTACTCTGCTCACTTTTAGGCGCACTGAAAACCCATCTCTTCAGGGAAGCCTACCCCGACCCCAGCTAATACTGGAATCCCCTACTCCTCCTACCACTCCATCCCCCACAGCTAATTACCTCTTGTATCACTATCCCCTCCCTCCTAGATTGTAAGCTGCAAGGAGCAGGGCCCTCTAATCCCTCTTGTATTGAACGGTATTGTTACTGTACTGTCTCCCTCCATAATGTAAAGCGCTGAGCAAACTGTTGGCGCTTTATAAGTCCTGTATAATAATAATAATATAAACCACACCAGGGTATTCCAACATACTAACAAAATCAAAGGGTGAAGTGCAAATTGCAGTATCTTGAGTATAACTACTTAGAAGGCAGCAGGGGAAATTTCATAAAGCCCACATGAGAGATGGGATATTGCCCTGGGCAAATGGAAAAAGAAAGTACTTGGAAGCTAGAAAGTGAATTTCCATCTTAGAGCTACATTTTTACCAGAATGGTCAGTGTTCAAAAATGTAAAGTATGTAAAGGTTGTGTAGAATTAAAAAAATGGACTATTATGTGGGGCCTATTTTTTTATATTGGGGTGTGCCATTACAAACTCTGACAACTCTGAACATTTGTTATAAAGCATCTTTCATTCTGTGTATTTTGATAAATGGTTAGATCTGATTCATGTGGACTATCATCCTTATCCTTGCCTTTGTTGACCCCAAACAAGCATGCAGCTATAAATGTCAGGATACGTGACCTGCATACTTGTTCAGTGACAGCTTAGAGAATAGATAAGGATGAAGATAATAGTCCAGAAGCCTACACCTTAACAAAACAGGTAAAAAAAATACTCTGAACTGACATGCTTCCTTTTAAATGTTTCTCTGAGTACTATGCTTTATTGAGCCATGATATAAGGAATAGACAAACACCATTCATTTTTAAATACATTGTTATATATGCATTTAATGGGGACCTCATTCCTCCAACAGTCATGGACTGTTTTTTGAGCCTCCTCTACAAGAATGCTGTGCTCTGTACACCTGATACATTGTAAACTGTAACAACTCCAGTCTCCTGTTTTCCCAGCAGTCATTATTTACCATTCAGACATAGATATCAAATAGCAAATGTCTTCTGAAGTTAACTTAATTGCATTTATTGCAGTGGTTGGCAGTTTTCTAGGTCTGATGAGAAGGAAAAGAACTCATGGAAGGTTTTCACTAAAACTGGAGAGTGAAACATGTGGTGCAACTCTGCATAATAACCAATCAACTTCCAGGTTTTATTGCCAATCCTTAACCACTTCAAGTCCGGACACTTTCACCCCCTTCCTGTCCAGGCCAATTTTCAGCTTTCAGTGCTATCACACTTTGAATGACAATTGCGCTGTCCTGCAACACTGTACTCATATGAATTTTTTAGAAATTTTTTGAGACAGATAAAACTTTACTTGGGTGGTATTTATTCACTACTGGGATTTTTATTTTTTTGCTATATAAATGAAAAAGTCCAAACATTTTGAAAAAAAAGTGTTTTTCTTATAAAATTTTGCAAATAATCTTTCTTCATAAATCTTGGCCAAAATATATTCAGCTATCTTTTTGGTAAAAAAAAAAATAACCCAAATGAGTTTATAACCAAGAATTATAATTTTTCAAAAACGTTTTTACATTTTTATTTTATTTTTGATATTATTATGTTTTATTTAACATACTGTCACCCTAGCAGTACAGTGTCACCATAGTGACACTGTACTACTTGTGGGGGGTGATGAAGATTTAAATTTTTTTTTACACTAATTGCTTTTACACCCATAAAGGCTGTAAAAGCAATCATTTCTCCTTCTCTCTGGCTGCATTCTTGCAGCCATTGAGAAATACTGTGAGAGCTGTATTGGTCACAGCTTGTTACATGGTACACGGTTGTGTTAGGAATGGACTGGCCAGCAATGGTGGGACTCACCTGCCTTTTGATCTGCAGTACCAGGGCTGGCCAGCGGTGCTCCCAGCAATCAGAGACTCAACCTTTCAGCCAGCTAACACCTGGAACAGATGATACTGGTGTATTTAAGGGATGGCCAGACTTGCAGACTCTGCCTTGGTGTTGTGTTTGTCCTGGGCCCTGTATCTGTCCTGCATCCTGTTTCTGTTCCTTTGCTGACTTCTCCTGCTCTGATCCTGGCTTGTGACCCTGACCATCCCTCTGTCTGACCCTCTGTACTACGCTGCTTGCTACCTGTTCTGATCCCTGGCTTGTGACCCGGACCATCCCTCTGCCTGACCCTCTGTACTATGCTGCTTGCTACCTGCTGAACCTGGCCTGTGACCCCGACCATTCTCCGCTTGCTCCCCCTGTACCTACCTGCCCAATTGATATTGACCCGGCCTGCCTGACGACGCTTGCTTGTATATACTGTTATTTGTGGGTGGTTTGGTTTGGTTTGTTTGCACCGTATTATGTTTTAGTATTGCACTGCGTTTATGTTTGTACTGTTAGTGTTAATAAATTATATTGTTTATAACATATCTGAGGTCTGCGTTTCCCTGCTTCAGTCACACACCTCTGGTCATACCTGGGAGCCCTGACAGGTTGTTGTGAATAGCCTTGTACCATGTGACTTCTGTGATCATTCACAGATTTCACTAGTAGTAAGCAATGATGTCAGCAGGTGACATCTTGCTTACTACTATTCATATGATCACTGATTGGCCAATCAGTGATCACATGATTGGGACCTCACACAGAGGCCCAGTACAGCGATCAGTGTCCGCCAAACATAGCGGGCACCGGATCACGGTGCCACACGCTCCCAGGGAGCGCGCACAGGCAGTGAATGCGGAGGTGATTTAAAAACGGCCACCCGCTCCTGGACTGCTCCCGTCCAATCGTTTTTGTACATGGGCTGGACGGGAAGTGGTTAATTTAACAATTTGAAGTTAGAAGCTGATTGGTTACTATGCACAGCTGCAGCAGATTTCGAGTGCTCCAGTTTTAGTAAATCTTTTCCATGGCATAATTTTTTTTCTGCCACCTCAACGTTCATCAGACAGAAATAAAAATGGATCGCATGTAACAAGCCCAATGTTTTATTTCATTTGAGCTATCAGTCATCCAGACACATGGACAAATTGATCAATGCATCCTAAGTCAGGGAGCTGCTCTCAGAGAGTCAGGAAAACAAAGTGCATGTGTTCAGTTGTATTTACAGATGTTATCTGATACAGATATTTCAAGTGGAGTCCCTCTTTAAATTCACCCATTGGTGTAGAACTCCTGGCATAATGATCCTGTGCTGTGTGTAAGTCCTGCTCATCCTCCCACCCCCTCCAGAGGTTGGATGGCTGTCTCTAGCTCTAGTCTCATTGTGTCATTGCTGTGCTGCATGAAACTGCAAGAGAACTGCTGCCAGAGGAGAAAGGGGTCTGGGCTGGGGAAATGGGCTCCTGGCTACCTTGCTCTGGCATCCTGTCACCCTAATGTAAGAAAGGGGATTTCCAGGGCTAACTGGGAAAGGGAAGGGGGCTGTCTCCTCCTTGCTTGGGGGTATGTGTGTTTGCAGGCAAAGTTGGTTACCTCCTCTCTCTCTCCTTGCAGGCTGGCACCTGACAAGACTGGAGTCATCCTAGACATCAGCACCCTGAAAATGAATGAGCTGGAGACTGAGGTGCCCCCCTTGCCCCCCAGATACCGCTTCAGAGACCTGCTTCTGGGGGACCAGAGCTTCCAGAACGATGACAGGTAAGAGAGGCTGCTGTGTGCAGGCGATGGGGAGCTCTCCTTGGTGCTGAAGCTGCAATGTGCACCCAGCAAGCTCTGCACACACTGATCTGCTGGAGGAGGGAGCTTCTACCTTCTTTCTCTATGTTTCCTGTGCATCCTGATATTCTGAGCTCCTATACCACACCATATACACACCACGAGTTCCTATACCAGACCGTATACACATTGTGCTTTTCTCATTCAATCCGTCAGTCTGCACATCTGGGTTACAAAGTTTACACCTGCTCTGTACTTCATGTGGTATTGCTAAGGAAAATTACTTTTTTATGGAATATTATAGCTCGCTATACAGAGTTATGGGCTATTGAGAAATATACGTATAAGGTGTGTAATGTATGTGTATAAATTCAAAGAAGGGTAGACAGTACTTGCAACTATTCTAGTTGATGCATGGAACCAGAGCCCTGCCTTCCAGGCTCAATATGTAGAAAAATCTAAAACCGGGAATTGCAGCATGCAACATAAAATGTATTTAAATGTCCAGCAGACAAAAAAATTATTTTGGTATATATATATATATATATATATATATATATATATATATATATATATATATTAGGAAAAAAAATGATATATATATATATGTAATATAAAAATATATGTATATATAAAAATATATGTGCGTGTGCGTATAAACAATTTTCAGTCTTCTATGGTCAACTTTTGAAAGGTCAACAATTTGGGGACTTTTTAAGACTTTTTTCTTTGCTCTCTCTCACTTTCTTTTCTGTCCCACTACACATCACTGCTAAATCATTTTCAAAAGATTATAACACACATTACGCTCATATGGCATTCTCTTACACATGCACAGGAAAATAGATTTTCTTTATGACTTAAAACATATAATAGCTTGTTGGAAAAGATTAAAAAATTTTCTGCTTTTTATACCAAAGAGAGTCATTTTGTTGGTAAAGGTGTTGGATTGTTTTGTGTTATAGGTATTTTACAAATTTTTCCCCAATGGCGTTGAATTTCTACTGTAATTTTATTTTTATTTTTTGCAGAATGCTTTTTTTTCCAGTTCAAACTCCTAACAGATGGTGTATGCATTTGAAACATATTTTGCTTTGCTTTCAAGCTGCCCTTTGTTGAATCTTACTGAGTTTGCAAAATCTCCCTGGTCTGCTATAATTTGTGTTGTTGTTCTGTTAACTGCGGAATTTTCCTTAAATTGCAGACGGCAGTGTTTTTGAGAATATGGGTAGGTGTTATATCAGTTAATTTACTGTTTCTTTGTAGTTTTTACAGCTGTGTTTGGGTGTTGTAGAGGTGTTGTGATTGTTGTTTGATATTACAGATGCATTGCTCTAGGGGTTTATATAGGAACACACATAAGACAAAGGGAAAGAAGAAAAAAACACAAAGGCAAATGTGTAGTATCCCACAGCATCTAATCAGAACTCCCCTTTTTATGGTATCACTCAAAGCAGAACTAAACTGAAAATACTCACCTCCACACCTGCTTACTGCTATCTGAGCTAAGTTGAATTTCTTCCCTCCTGATTGGCTGGCAAGGGATGGCATTCTGCACATACACACAGGAGTTGGTCATTCCGGCACAGCCAGAGTGTACCATGACTGCATACTGAGCTACGCATGCACAGCTCAGTGTACATTCAGTAGAAGAATGTGAGCAGACAAATCTTAGTTATTTTAGAAAAGACATTGCATGTCTCTTCTGCAATAAAGAGCTGCCTGCTTGCAGTTTTATTTACATTTTAGGTTTAGTTCCACTGTAAATTGGTAATCACATAGGAACAGGGGCAGACTGACCATTTGGAAACTCGGGCACAGCCCGAGGGCCTGGGGTCAGTAGGGGGCTCCATGAGATGCCCCTGGTACCTTTTTCATAGGCTTTTTTGAGTTTGGGCAAGGACACAGGGGCCCCATGATCCCTTATTGCCAGGGGGCCCCATGAGTTTGTCAGTCCGCCCCTGCATAGGAAGATGATTGGATATGGAGGCACTATACAACTGTCTGAAAAGGTCTTTTGGCAAACATTAAAGTGGTATTAAACCCCAAAACGAAAATATAATATATTGCAGCTTACCAATCCTTAGATATGGTGGCTGCATGATTCTTCCTTTTTTAGACTTTTCTCCCTCTGTTTTCACCTGGTGATCCAGCAGTAAGCCTGTTTTTTCAGCTTTCTTTAACAGTCTAAACTGTACAGAAAAAATGGCAATTAAAGGGTAGAGACAAACCCTGACAGGGGTGCTTACAATGGTCAATGTTTATTCATTTATGCAAAACCTTTATCCGAAGGGAAAAAAAAATGTTACCGTAACTGCTTATTAAGTGTTAGCTGGAGTTTGGCTTCAATTTGTTAAGTCCATCTAAAAGTTCTAGTCTATCACTCCCCTCTCCCCAGACTAAAGCAGTCCATAGACGAGTTAAAAACTGAACAAAAATTATTGTTGATTGTCAGATGGTTTGTTTTTCACATCATTAGTGTGCCAGCTGCGACAAGCGACTTTTTGTGCTGCTATTCAAAGTGCCTGATCCAACATGCTGGATTTTTTTTAGAGAAATGAAACAAAAGATGGCACAATGGTATGTGCAATTTTTATTTTTTTCGATGGACAGGGCATTCAGTTTTTGACTCGTCTATGGCTGGTTTAATGATGCTGCTGTCCAAAGGTGACTCCGTTACTCTTCCATCCAGAGGGGAGACACCCTAAAACAGGATCTGTAGTACTGTCTAGATTACCAGGTAAAAATAAATAAAGGTAAAAAAAAGAAAATGAATGCAGCACATTTTAAGGTTTGATGAGCTGCAATTTTTTTACAGAGCTTTTGGGTTTATTAAGGCTTTTACTCTTGGCAAGCCTGAACATTCATATTCAGTCTATGGATCAGAAAGGGAGGAGAGTCATGCTAACATCTCAGGTTAGACACAGCTTCTTAACCTATTTGGTCTCATTTCTTGCAGTCTGGTTGGTGTGGGTTCCTGAACCTTGCCCTTTGCACTGCTTCACATAAAAAGTCCTTGTCACTAAGGAGACCTTCCTGAGACTGCACGTGTTTATGCATTATCTGTACACATGGAGACTATTATCTGATACTTCTCAGTGATATACCATTTAAACACTGACTAAAGCACATTTTCCGAGCCTTGATTTATTTTGTTTCTGCTGCCGCTTTAAAAACTGACTCTCATCTAAAATATCCAAGGGTTTTCACCTTTATAAGATGTTTGATTGATATAATTATATAATGAGCTGTTTTCAAGTCATTATGCAATTAGCGGCTTGTTTACCAACAGCACTGCATATGCTTGAGTAAGGTAAGTAATATTTTGATTACCTTTAATTATGAAAAACAACCGATCTCCGAAACCAGATGTAGTTCTGGGACAAGATGGTCTGTAAAGAATTGACATTTCCTGATACGTCATTCTTGTGGATGATCTGGTGTTCGGAGTAGTGTGTTCTACAGTATGTGGTGTGAATATTAGAAATAACCTATACAAATATGTGCCAAAACCCTCATGAACTTCTTAAAGTTGTACTTTAGAGGGTAAAAGAAATACTCATTTAGGTGTACATTGAGCCCTTATGCACAATGTTTTAACAGCTTTGTTTTTGGCTTTTGACATTTTTTCTACAGCCAGTAAACTCCCCAGCATGTTATCCTATGTGTCCATGCACACATAAACTGTAATCAACGTTTTGTTGGCTGGAAAAAAAAAAAACCCAGGACTAGTGGGTTTCTAGAGGCGTTTTTTAGCTGTAAAAACGCTAAAAAAACATTTGGTCAAAAAAATCTAAAAAAACACTAAAAACCACAAATGAGGAAAAACATTGGAAACGGCTGCTAATCATGGTAAAATGCCTCAAAACACTAATGCAAAAAAGCTGAAAAACTGAGATTTTTAACATGACTTTACACAGCTAATGATTATCAGTGTCATCAAAACGTCCCGTGTGTTGTAGGGCTGAAAACACAATGGATGGAACTTACAAAGAGCAAGCCTAAGTGCCTGA